AAGTAACAAAGAAACAGAATTTCCGGAGGATGAGGCCCAGAAATCAGGATTTGAAAAAGATTCCCAGGTGATTCTAATGTGCGGCCAAGGTTGAGAACCACTGCAGTTGTTTAGGGCAATGAGGCAGTAACATTGTAGAAATTAATTTCAGTTGGCATGAAACAGTGGCTCAAATACGACTGCCAAATTACAGTGATCTACTAAAAAGTTAGCCCTTTAGTAACCAAAGAAGTGTGATTACCAGCGACCACTGTACTTGTTTGTACTATAAGAACATTTTATAAACAAGCGTGTATTCTCTCAGTAAATGGAAGAAACAAAGATATGCACAAAAGGAAAGAGTTAATTTGAAGAAGAGTGGGTCGGTCACCACCACGTGGAAAGGGGAGTCACAAATGATAACGGTAATGAAGAATAACACTTACTGAGAGTTCCCTAAATACCAGGTCCTCTGCTAACCATCTTACATTTGACATTGAATCCTCACAATGACCATCAAGTAGATACTGTGATTCTCAATTTCGAGAGAAGAAACAGTGGGCTTGGGAAATTAAGTCCGTTTGCCCAAGGTCACACAACGTATCAGTGGCAGCACTGGCCTCCAAACCCAGTGTTTTGATTCTGCTGGCAAATGTGTTCATCACCCTGTTAGGCAGGCTTCTCAAGAGGCCAACAGAGCCAGTGCCCACCTTAAGCACTGCCCAGAAAAACTACTCAGACTCAAAGGAACTGGAGGCAGTCCATTATGAAGATAGGTAAGGTTTTCAGGGCAACCTCCATTCTCTCATTTCTTGCTCACCAAGTGGCTTTGGCTCCCAAGTGGCCTGCCTACAGGAAGATCATGGCACACTTACTCGGGGCCCTTGGTGGGTTCACAGCTGGGCGTTAATTACTGAACCTGCACCATGGTTATATATTCTTCTCAGTGAGCTGGGGTGACACAGGTCTCCCTCCCTGAGACATTCAGCTTTTCAGTCTGACCACTTCCCTCTACAGCTGTGGGCAAACTACGGCCCACGGGCTGGATCCGGCCCGTTTGAAATGAATAAAACTAAAAAAAAAAAAAGACTGTACCCTTTTATGTAATGATGTCAAAAAGTTTGCCCCCCCCCCCACCCCTGCGAGTCTAGAATGTGCCGATTCCCATGGGAGACGCTGTACCCAGATGACACCCCCCATCAAACCTCTATAACTTACAGTTTCAATACTGGAGGGAAGATGTCCTAATTCCCCTTAAATTCTATAAAGCCTTTCACAGCTTCTTTGGAAAGTGTTGTGAAACTCAGAATGATATGTGGAGAATTTCAACAGCTCTGAGAGGCTGTTGCTATAATAAACAGCTATATTTTCCTATGAGGATAACTGTTTTCCCCTTTTTAAAAGTCACTTTCCATAGTTCAAATACGGTGAATTCTGAAAACAGCTAACAAACCTAAGTCAACTAAATTGCATATATTAACCTTTGTTATTAAGTTCTTAATGTATTGTAAAATACCTCAGACAAAAAAAAAAAAAGACCGAAAAGCAAACATCATATACCCACACATCCAGCTTAAGAAATAAAATACCGCCGTAACCGGTTTGGCTCAGTGGATAGAGCGACGGCCTATGGACTGAAAGGTCCCAGGTTCGATTCCGGTCAAGGGCATGTACCTTGGTTGCGGGCACATCCCCAGTGGGGAGTGTGCAGGAGGCAGCTGATTGATGTTTCTCTCTCATTGATATTTCTAACTCTCTATCCCTCTCCCTTCCACTCTGTAAAAAATCAATAAAAATATATTTTAAAAAATAAAAAAATTAAATAAAAAGACATCTGTTTAAAAAAAAAAAGAAATAAAATACCATCAATATAGTTGAAGCCCCTGGATACAGCATTATAACAGTACATTGTGGAGCCCTTGTAAGTGTATTATTGTGGAGCCCTTTTAAGTGTCATAATAGTGAAATGGTACACAATTAGGCAAGAAAAGGAAAGACTTTTTCCTCCCCCAATTTAAATGCGGGCAGTAGCGAAGTTTATCAGCCAAATCTATATACTATGATGATTCTGAGTTTGCTTGATGGGAGAATAGTGCGAGACAACATACCAATATCACTTGGTATGAATCTTATAAGTGACGTATGGACACAAACTCAGAACAGGTGTTGCTGAATCAGGTTATTTCTGAGCAGTCATTCAGTACAATCAGGCCTGGGGCTTGAGCCATCTGTTTACATGTTACAGCAAAAAGCTTCTGAAACTTTGTAAGGAAAAAATTTGCTCTACAAACTAAGTTCCTGACCATGACTGCCATGAAATCTTGGGAATGGTGGGACAGCCTGTGCAGGGGCAAGACATTTTCTAGGGATCACATCTGTTCCCTCTCAAAGCATTCTATACGCTTCTGTTAAAAAAAAAAAAAGAAAATCATTAAATTCCCACATCTGTATGAAGTTGCTTGTTCCTGAGTCTGATCGCCTTAAACAAGAGATAGCAAGCTCGCTGCACTTCTGGGCTAACAGAATGAAGGCAAGGCCTGTGGGTTCAGATCAACCTGTATTTACTGAGCACATTCCATGCCGGGTACTCTGGGCACAAAAATAAATTAACCACAGTTTCTCAAGACGTTGACTCTGTAGTGGTTGTAGGCAGATCTGGTGCGTGAGGAAGAATTACAGAAAAAAGGAACCAAAATAGGGAGGAAAAATGGGCAAAGGAAGCAAAAACAATGGAATAAATGCAAGTAAACAGGAGCGGTCGCTGAGGCCAACTCTTCTGGTTTACTCTCTCCTCCTAGGACTGCTCCATCTCCACTTCCCTCCAAGGCTCCCCTCCTCTAATTCAACCCTGCGGGTCTGCTACAACTTGTTCCCTCCTGGACAGCCTCCCACCTTCTCACAGCTTTGATTAATTAACTGATCTCAGCTGGTTATTCCAAAATCTCTTCTCTCCAGCCTGGATTCTCACCTGAGCCCCAGACCCACAATTGCTCTGCCTGCTTAACATCTCAATTGGCATCTCAATGTCAATAGTACTTTCAGAGCTGCGCTCACCGCACCGCTCCTTTCCCCCTCAAAGCTACTCTTCCTTTTACATTTCTTCTCTCAGTTAGAGCTCCCACCACTTACTGGAAACCTAAGTATCAACCTGGACCCCTGGTAGACCTTCCCCAACACTCCGGAGGCGGGTCCTGAATATCGCCTGATTCCACCCACTGTGTCCATCCCATCCAAATCCAACGGACCACCATCTACACCACAACTACTCCTCTCTAATGATTCCCCAGAGGGCCCTCTCTTCGGAAAAAAACAATCATCCCACACCCGTTTAAAAATCCTTCACTAACCTCCCTATTACTTTCAGGATAAGCCCAAACCCTTTAACAAAAACCCGTGTTATAGGGCCCCTGCCTCTCCCTACTCTCCTCTCCCCACTTCAGGTTCCAGGTAGATCCCCTGCTTCCTGTCTTTGGCCCTGTCCAGTTCCTTTGTTGGAATAGTCTTTCCCAAACCCTAATAGGACCACCCTGCCCCATTCTTCAGGTGCCAGTTCAGACATTCCTTGCCCTGGGAAACTCGCCCTTTACTGCCGAACCCTATTGTCTATAGCGCCCTCCAATTCCCCTATCATAGCATGGACCAGGACTGTTTCCTACTGGTAGCAACACTAGGGTAAGCTCCTAATACATATGTGCTTGGCATTCAGGTCTTTAATACTGAATCATCAAATGATTGGATGGTCACCAGGGGCACAGTTTATCTATTACTGACTATTTATGAACTACAACATCAGTGGGATCTCCAGTTAGGAAGATAGACATTTATGTGGAATAACCAGTTTCTCCATCTTTCTCTTACCCTAGAACCAGGTGGCCAAAGGGTGGAAGGATCCTAGGTTTAATTAGAGCCCTTTTCATCAAAGGCCTTACATAGCATTTAATTGAAGCCACTGGGTGGATACTTGAGGACTCTACAATTTCCTATTGACTAGATGAGGGGTTTTCCAGGGCAAACCTCCCTATGGTCACTATAGCAGACTAGTGATTAGAGCAGGGGTCCTCAAACTATGGCCCGCAGGCCACATGCAAATACAAGTATTGTATTTGTTCCCGTTTTGTTTTTTTTACTTCAAAATAAGATATGTGCAGTGTGCATAGGAATTTGTTCATAGTGTTTTTTTTTTAAATTATAGTCCAGCCCTCCAACGGTCTGAGGGACAGTGAACTGGTCCCCTGTTTAAAAAGTTTGAGGACCCCTGGATTAGAGCTTGGCTTTACCAGCACAGCAAATCACACAACCCCTCTGAGGATCACCCTTGCTATCCCCATGGTTCAGATGAGGAAACCGGAGCCCAGAGAGGTCACAGAGCTTGCCCAAGTTAAACAGCCAGAATTCAATCTCAAGCAATAATCTTGGCCTGGCCTAGGGAAAACAATGAATGTTGAATGAATGAAGTCAGTACACGTATAGATCAGGATGACCCCCATTTGGGATTATATTAGAAAAAAGAAACTTGATCATCCAAAATGCATTCATATTTGATTTTTAATGACATATGGGGGAACATATAAACATTTTTAAAAACTCAGGCACTGTAGCCCTGGCCAGTTTGGCTCAGTGGATAGAGCGTTGGCCTCCGAACTAAAGGGTGCCGGGTTTGATTCTGTTGGTGGCGGGGGAAGCACATGCCTGGGTTGCGGGCTCGGTCCAACATGCAGGAGGCAGCCAATCAATGGTTCCCTCTCATCATTGATGTTTCTATCTCTCTCTTCCTCTCTGAAATCAATAAAAATATTAAAATTTTTAAAAAAACAAAACCTCAGGCACTGTGCATTCTCTTTTCTCTCTTACCCCCAAGGAAAGACCTCTTGTTCTGTATCTATTCCCTCTCCTGGGACTGTGGGCTAGCAGGCTAATTCAGGTATCATGGCCAGGGACATGTGTTTGAGAACGCGCAGCCAGCATCCAGTCAAGTGGCTGGGACGTCAGGAGAGAAGCCAGCAGGCTTGTTTGTGGCTTACCTCCCGCAGCTCCAGCCTTTGGGCCACCGCCTCCAGGCTCTCCTGACCTGTGCTCTCCACAGACAGCGTGAACTCCACAAACTCATTATTGAGGAGCTGGATCCGGGCAACCAGGCAGCTCTTGCTGGACACCGTGTAGCGCCGGGTGCGTTTGAGTTTCAATCCGAATGGCAGTGGCATCTTCTCTCTTCAAGAGCGGAGGGGTAACGAGGGAAAGGCAGGGCCACCAATGCAGCGGCGGTGCCCGGGGAGGAGGGCGCTCCCTCTCCTCTCCTCTCCTCTCCTGCCGGGAGCGTAGCACAGTCCCCAGCTGCTCACCCAGCAGCTGCTGCCGCCATTAAAACGCAACTGAGTCTCCACGGGCCAGGCGACGGGGGCATCCACACCAGGGCTGAGGAAAGGAACACACTGGTTATACGGGCAATGGCAACGCTGGACTTGGCTTTTTAAAATCAACATCCATAAAGCTATATCCAGAGAATAAGCTTCCCCCCTCCTTTGGAAAAGGCAGGCATTAGCAGGGCTGGGGAGGCGCTGGGGGAGTTGGCATGAGAGCTGCGTTAGCGGTAGCGCTGGGGTCAGCGTCCACCCCTCACTCACTCCTACAGAGAGTGGCAACCGCCTGCGGCTGTTTCAGGATTAAATGAGATAGCTGGCTGGCACTACTGTAAACCCAAATAGAGTACCTCGCATTAGTGGTTCCGTTTCTGTTTTGGATAAGGTGGGCGGGTTTGGGGTTGTGTGTGTGTGTGTTTTTTTTTTTCACAGTTAACTCTTTTTGGCTCCCCAATACTCCACACCTGAGAGCCTTTAGTCTTTAGGTGAGTTAACTACAAAACACCTCCAAAAGAGCTACGTCCAAGCCTCAGCCGCCAAAGGCAAATTAACCCCGAACCCAAATGAGAGGAATAATCCCCTTGAACATATGGCAGCTGTTAGTTCAAAGGAGGCGAAGCGCTTGACAAGCATTTGGAGAAGCCCTTCTGGTTGCTAAATAGTGACGTCACCAAGTTGGTTGATTGGTAAAGAAATCATGAAAGACCTACACACGCTTGTTATCAGATCACCATGTGGAGCAAGTGCTGAAAAGCGTGGCCCTGGCTGCTCCGCGGGAGGGGACGCCTAAGGAGGCGGTGGGCCTTCTCCTAAGCGGAGCCCGGCCCAGAAGAGGCGGGCGAGGACTTAAACGCCATCTGGCTTCACGAGGGGCGGACGGGGTCCGGCCAGCCCACGTGGCTAAGAACACCAAGGAGCGCTCGGGCTCCGACTCCTCCCGGGAAAGCGACCGGCGTTGCCATGCCAACGCGCAGCCTCGGCAGCCCCGGAACCCTCCGCCCCGGGCAGCGTTTTCCGGACGGACGCGCTAGAGCAGGGCCGGGCCGGGCCGGGCCGGCTGCTCCCCGAGGGAACTTTTAAAGGACCCAGCTCGAGCCCCTACAAGTGCTGAGGTTTGGGCGCGGGCCGTTTGATTCCGGTTTGGAGCCTCGCGACTTCAACAACGTTTTGAGTCACACCTGTTGATGGCAACTCATGGGCTGAAGCGGCCACCGCGGATTCTTACATCAGCCGGCTGTCCTTCCCCCTGGAGGAGCGGACAGAACCCCGGGATAGTCCCCACCCTCCGCTCTCGTCTGAGTGGAGGAGGATGAATCGTTCCTCAAGGCTCGGGGGTGGCGAGTGGCCCTGAACTTGGGCCCGGAACCGCGCGGAGAGGCGGGGTGCGCCCCCACCCGCTCAGCAGGCAGACACGGAGCCCGGGCCTCGCAGCTTCACCCCAGGATGGAAGGAGCTGGGGTCCAGCCCAGACGCCTCATCCCAACCCTTTTCCGCTCTCCGGAATGCGTCCCAGCCCCAGAGTGAGGGGCACTCGGCACGTGGATGGCACCCAGCTCTGCCGGCCAACGCTTGGTAATTCCAGTCCGCAAAAGCGCGTTGCGTCTCTGGGCACCGGGCAGTGCCGCGGGCATCGCGAGGAATCCGAGGCGATCCTAAGCCGTCGCTGCCCTTGCGAGGAAAAGCATCTGTACTTAGATACAGGGATGTACCGCTAAGAAGGACCCGATCTGGCTGGCTTTTTGTTTGTGTTGCTTGTGTTTTGGTTTTTGAATTCTGGTTATTTTCAGAGAGCCAAATAAATAAATAAAAAGAAAAGTTTAAAACAAGGAATAGAGGAGGGAGGCCAGAGGGAAAAAAAAGAAAACAGGAACTACCTACAGCACTGTATTAACAGCATTTCCTGAGTGACTTTTGTAGGTAAAAGCATCATACTTCTACAGGTAAGGAGGGAAGTAGAAAATAAATATTATAAAAATATATGATCTCGCCCTGGGCGAGAACTTTTAAAGGACCCAGCTCAGTTAGAGTGGCATCCTGATACACCAAGGTTGCCAGTTTGATCCTCCCTTAGGGCACATACAAGAAGCAATCAGTGAGTAAGAGGAACAACACTGATGTTTCTCTCTCTCTTTCTTCTCTAAAATCAATGAATAAAATTTTGAAAATAAAAATAAAAAGATATGCTTCTCCACCTGCAGTTTGTAATGCTCTTTGTTATATCAAGGCATAAACTTAATAGATAGTTCAGGCAAAATGGATAAAAATCAAGAATGAGAACCTTGCCCTACCCGGTTTGGCTCAGTGGATAGAGCATCCGCCTGCGGACTGAAGGGTCCCAGGTTTGATTCTGGTCAAGGGCACATGCAGGGGTTACTGGATCCATCCCCAGGATGGGGTGTGCAGGGGGCAGATGAACAGTGATTCTCTCTCATCGATGTTTCTCTCTCCCTTCCTCTCTCAAATTAATAAAAATGGTTTAAAAAAAAGATATGAGAACCTTAATACTTTTAAACTAGAAAATTTCCTGGTGAGCCAGTAGCATTTGTATAAGTTTTAAAAGATTGCATATACATTAACATATATATACTACATACCCTTTCATGAGATGAGGTAATGCATTTCAGCTTACTACACAAATGATAGTAACTGAAGAAGGATTAAGTAGTGGACATGAAGGACAAGATATTGCATATATGCAGTTGAAAGATGAATATTTGTGTTAAGGGTGTTCAAATATGGTAGTCTCTTCACTACAAAGGAGAACTATACATCGAAGGCAATAGATAGGACACAATGTAATTATTAACTTATGCTCTGATTAAGCAAATGCAGAGTGAAACTTTTCCTTTATCCCTGAGATTTGAAAAATTTTACATCAGGGATAAAGAAAAGCCAATATGTTCTCTTTATTTTGGTAAATGTTAATGTAATCTTAAAAGTTGAAGGTGTGTGTATCAGGTGCATTTCCCACCCCCCACCCCCAAGATCTAACCATAAGAATAGCTTGCTTTTTGCATATATATTTGCATATATATGTATATATATTATTTTAACAGTAGGAGATATATATCCTATATATACTGTTAAAATAATGTTTTGCTATTAAAATATACTGTTAAAATGTTTTGCTTAACCACAAATTTATCAATGACTTACACATTTTAACTTTCTTTTATGTACAATATTTGCAACCAAATGATGTCACAGAGTTATAAATGTTTGAGTAGAGTAGAAATTTTGGATGCTTTGGGGAGAGTCTCAGGTGTAAAATAATATGTAATAATTTGAAAGGTAGTTGGGTCTGGAGTTATAAATTACCTAACTACTAAAGTAAACAATTCATAATTAGCTTTGGAAGGAAAAAAATTCCAAACCATTCTGTTATATAACAAGAAAGCAAATACATACTATATTCTGTTCAAGTTTTCAAAAGACAGAGATATTTGTAAATTCATTTTAATGTTTTCACATCCCCTCTCAAACTTTCTCAACTGCACTTTAACTGAATCCTATATTTTCCCCCCTTGCTGATAAGGTCTCCACTATATATATTTTACCAACGAGGCTTTAAAATAAAATAATCACTCAAAAAGATATTTTTAGAGTAATATATAGATCTATAGCATTCTAACCTATGTTTCTCATGGACCAAATATTTACACGTAGATACACGAGACTAAAATGCCCTAGAAACAAAACAAACAACTATTTTCAGAGTAAAATTGCTGTCATATCCGACACTAAAAAAAAACAAAAAAAACTGTCAGCAACTATCAGGCATACAGCGGTTGTCACTTGGAGCCCACGGAGTGTTTTGAATGTTTGAGAGCACACGCTATTATTATAAGGCTTTCTCAGCAAAAGAGAAAATAAGACGAGCATGCCAAGAACTTCTAATCAGCATTTGCAGAAATCACAAGTCGGAATTTGCAGACCCAAGAATTCTCTTTTCCAGAGTAAACACTCCTGACTCCAAAAACAAAACCAGTCGTCGCCAAACAGTCCTTCCCCGCTCCCCTTCTCCGCCAAGCTATCGGGCAAATTTCTTCGCACTTCAGACTCCGGGAGGCACAGAGATGCCTAAGACCGAACACCCTGCTCCAGCATGGAGCCGCCGCAATCGGAGGAGGAGCTCAGAACAGACCTTCCAGCCCCTTTAGAAACGACTCAAGTAGATCGCGGGGGACCTGGGGAAGGGAGACTTTTCTCTTTGTTACGCTCCTGCCATCCGATCCGTCCGTAGCCGGGACCCGTCCCCCAGGGCTGC